AACGATTGAGCACCAATGGGGTGCAAGGCTACAGTAAAGGTTAAGAACCACTGCTCCAGATGATTGGCTTAGAAAGCAAAAAAAAAGAAACAAATTGCTATCTCCAGAAGCCACATCCTCTAATTGCTGCACACAGCTCCAATTGTGTTGTGCCGTCACTCACAAGCAAGGGTAGTGAAATTCACGAGCAGGTACAAACCTCCCACCCGGTGCGCCCTTGAGAAATGGAATAAAAATTCAATCACCGCGAAATGGGTTTGCGCTTATTTTTCAGAGGCAGTTTTTCACCGCGCCAAATAACTACTAAATCGGAATCCATTCCAAGAATCTGTTCTGTCGCATTCCCTTTGAAGATAGCTGACCTAAAAAAAGAATTGATTCCTGACCTACAACTTTCGAATTGCATTACGTAAAACCGCCCCTGGTTATTGTTGTTTATTTTAATTATCCATTTTAAGCGAGCTCAATCGAACTGCCGCATTCGCATTGCTCTTTCAAAACTCCGCTTTTAACAATCGAACCCTAATTGCAAATGTATTTGTTTTTCACAAACGCGTGTTTTTGCTATCCGCCTTGTCAAACAATGTCACCTAATTGCAGCAAGGGATCGTTAATGACTGCAATTATAACCTGACGGGATCCTTTTAAGCCGAAGGATTCACATGCATACAATGGAAGACATTTCAATTCACAGTTAAGGCACCAGGGCTGTGTTCATCTCAATTTATGACCCTGAATCAATTGCAAAAGCTCCCATTATTATAGCTCAGAGCCAGTCTTTCCGTAGACCAACTACGGTAGCAAGATGTTAACTACTTTGCCTGGGTATAAGGGAGATCACGGGTCGATCCTGACCCTGACGCCTGTATATTTGGAGTTTGCGTGTTCTCCCCGTGGTCGTGTAGATTTTTATCTAGGTCCTCCGGTTTTCCCCTCCACATTTAGAATTAACATGCATTCAGAGTATGTGGCTGCTATACATTTCAACGTGATAAGCCGCTTCGTTGAGCTATCATTTGTGGCCTGGTCGCTTCTCAAAAAGAGCTATGTAGCTCAGTGGGCTTTACCTGGTAAAATAAATAAATAAATAAATAAAGTTAACTTTTACAAAGCAGTCCTGCACTGAAACGAATTTTAATTTGCTTGATTACTGCGGGAGAAAACTATTCCGCCCAGAGGAAACTCCTGAGTAAGAGGGGGCCGATGCTTAAACATGCGCACAGAGATCAAACGCTCCGTGTGTCCTGCCTTCTCCAATGCTCCGACCGTGCACGATTAATATGTCTCAAACACTGCCAATGCCTCCTTCACGCGGTGCGCCTGTGGGCACTTGGCGACCGCTTCTGTTGGCAGCACTTTCATCCTCCCTCTCTACCCGTCGTCTTATCGCGGAAACTATTCCTAATTACAAAAAGTGCACGTGGTGTCTCGGATTTGTGCTAGTTGTCCCATCTAGCCGCGCCAAAGATACCCTATCGATTCGTCTACAAATTTATAGCAGGGCCCAAGGCGCTCGCGGGCGCACACACATTGTGTGCGATACTGGGACAAGCCACTGTGTTTGTCGAGTTGTCAGGATGGTGTCTGAGGTCTGGAATGATTGCTTTAACGTGAGGGGTTCACACCCCCCCCCCCCTCTCAGACACCCCAATGTCAACACTCCCAACACCCTCCTCCCTCTCACCCCAAGCATCCACTAATAAAGCGATGGCAGGCAGAGAAAAAAAATTACCGAATTATTGTCGCCTCCTTTGGACGACCTTGCTTAGAGCACTATGCGATTCAAATTGCTTTTATACGGCATTGTCAACCTGCCAAGGTTATGGCAAGGCAATGACAATATGGCCATGCATAAACACATGTGTATGAATATTATACAAAGCATATGCTGTACAGATATTCAATAGTAATAATTTAACACTTAACAAAATCAAACACGTGCTTCAGATAAGAGATCGGTGTTTGGATGCAAAGAGGTAGATACAGAGGCACACGGCATTCAGCAGTGGTTCAGTGGCTAGGGCACTAAACTTCAAACTCGGTCTTGGCTATGGCTAAGATCAGTGGTGTACGACAACTGAACTGGTGCTGGACTTTCCTCCCTTCATTAGGCCACACGAGCCAGCACGGTGAAGTGTTGTCCTACAATCCTTCATATCTAACAGAGCCTGATAGATGGGCCTTCATTCAAGTGTATTGACAAAGCGCTGTAAAGTAATATTTGATATGTTATAGATTCAGAAAGGTTATTTCGGTAATTTATATTGGAGATTATGAGCCATCACCTCATTATTGATTCGCTTTAAGTTAATCAGAATGTTGCGAGCAAGTGCATTGAGCAAATTTTCTCACAGATTTGCTCTTTTAGTAATTACCCAAATTTCCCACGGATGGTTCTTCATAAGTGCTCAGCTTCCTTGTAAACAAGCACACGGCACGCAAGCCTAAATGGAGCCTACTGAGCATGGAGATAACCTAAAATAAATACCAACAAATTATACTATCCTCTTGAAGTCTTCGGGATTTCCTTTGCCAAGGCCAGAAATCTTAAAAACCCATCATTGGAACGCCCGTGGCATTTTTTGTCCAGGAATGCAGCGTGGCGTGATGCAATTAGGATAAGTACAATCGATGTGTGGGTGAATCACGAGAGGCAGATCTGGGAGCGGGGGAGAGGGGAGAGCACGGGGACTGGGTGGAGGGTTCAGCGGAAGGAAAGGAGAGAGACGGGAGACTCGTGGGGGGGGGAGGGAGATGGGATAGATCAATGTGCCAAGGGGTCATCTTAAAACACATGGTGTAATTTCCTGAATCCCCAATGCTTTTCCAATACCTGCGCTGATGGAGGATTGTGCTCCTAATGTTATCTGCATGGTGTGCACATTTCTGGGTAAAGCAAGCCAGTTAATTCCGCTGCACATGCAATTGTGTGGAACTGATTTCGACGGAGTGTTAAGATTCTAGCTCCAACGCTGAACATGTCAATTTCATATGATAACATATGCACATTGCCATGAACATTCTGGGAAGGCTGCAGTGCTAGTCCCATTCAAATACTTGGTTGGCCACTGCCATGAAAATTTGAAACTACCACTGTTTAAAGCTTTCCTGACTGCAGGGATTCATATTCTTGGTTATTTTGGTAAAGTCACGTAGAAGGGAAATAGAAGGGAAATATTATTTCCCTTCTATGTGACTTTACCGAAAGAACCAAGAATATGCTACCACTGTCTCAAGGCTTTCGGTGGAGATGAGTACCACCCAACACTGATTTCAGTATAAACACACTATTATAATGCTTTATATAGGTATAGAATTCTCTTAAATGTAATTTATGTTGCCTTGTATAGTATTATGCATCTGTCAAAATGTCACATGGTTTCCGTGTTCAAAACAAGCACTGGGGCAGCACTCCACTCGTGTGCCATTTTGGCCCTGAGCCAATGGCAGAAATGTTTCGTTCCCATGGCAGGAGCCAGCCAGCTGGGAAAATATGATTTACTTCCAACAAAGTGGTGTCTATTTTATCAACCCCTGAGGATGATGGGCACGAGCCGTTTGCCGACAAGCATTTGAACCCATGACCCTAAGACTGCCGAATGCATCACCCGGTCAGATTCAGCATGCACCAAAGTGCCGTTACAATTGTCAGAGACACGTGAAAAGAAGGATCATTGCCAATGTGCCGGAGTGCTTTAATCAATCAGAAAAAAACCTGAACCCATGAGAGTCTCCTAAGGCTCTTAAGGACCCAGAGTGACATGTTAGGCAAGGTGCAGCAACATTTTGTTTGTGTATGGTGGACATATATACACATTTGATAGAAATGGAAACAGATCAGAGGGAGATGGGAGCACTATAAGCAGATTCTGTTGGCGGCCCCAAAGCAATTTAAAACCATCCCCGCGAAAGTGCCCTAGAGGCTAGAACTAAGGTCGCTTGAGAGCTACAGGACTTGGACACCTTGACAAGGGTAAGGATTTAGTGGTATGCATAGGGCAGGATCCATGCCTCGCAGATAGACATGGCCCTTTGTAAAAGTATTTTCTGACCATTGTTAATGGAAAAGGTCAATCGCTGAATGCCGAGAACAGATGCTACAGTGGGTTGATTTAATGGATTCAAATTATGCTCATTCAAGAAGCGTTATATCTGTAGGTGTGTTCAGATGCACGTGTTCATTTTAAAAATGTAAATAAGAGGAATGTTATATATTTGCATCTATTCGATAGGTGTTTCCACACACACGTTAGACAGGTATTGTAATAATAAGGGTATACTGTATTACGAGCTAGATATAGCATTCAAAAGGATCAAACTGACAATGTTTTAATACATGTGAAGAGAAAATTCTTTGAATTTATTTCAACCCACAGTGGTGCTCATTTTTATCAACAACGACAGGTTGATGAGGTGCCTCCCAACCTGGATTTGAAATTCCAACATCCAATTGCGAGTTTCTTGCTCTGATCAGATCATCCCCCAGTCAAATCTACAAGAGCAATGTATGCCCTAAATGTCCATATATATATAAATTCCTGAGAGGCTATGGTTATCGTTACCCAACTCACATATTGGAAGGTTACGAGTTCAAGCCTTGGTTGACGGCCGATTAAACCTATCATCACTCCGGGTCAATAAAACAAGTATCAATTCATGGACAGACGACAGAGATAACCGGTCAAGGAATGAACCTCCACCATTCGGCGTTTGCCATTTCCACCAATGGCGCAGGGACTCTAACGGAGAAAAGGGCCCAAACCCATTGCTCATTCGAACTGCGAGGGGACGACTTTGCTCGTGGCTCTGACCCAAACGCATTCCCTCTCGGGGCGACTCAACGCGGCCGATAACGCAAGCGGTCGCCCGAGGCAACCGGGCACGCGTGCGGTAACCGGCGGCTGAACGGCGACGCCGCCGCTAATAACGGGCGGATGATTGTGACGCGCGACGGGGGTTGGGGTGGGGGGGCATGTGCGATGCAATTCCGCGACACTCACTGGTGCAGGGCATGTCCGGGGGGTCCGAGGGGGCGCGGAAGTGACCGTTGCGGCACACGCAGCTCGTTCCGCCGACGGACGACATGCGGCTGCCGGGCGGACACTGCTGGCACTCGTGTTCTCCCTGCTGCGGCTTGAACGTCCCGAGGGGGCACGCTGCACACCGACAGAAAGGCAACGCGACAACGCACGTGTGTAATGAGCGAGCGTGTACATCGCGCATACATGCACGCACACACGCACGTGTTGATAGGGCCCTCCACGAGATTGGCCTACGAATTGTCACGATTCACCGTCTTGTTTGTGTCGCTTCTGTTTGTCAACCCTTTTTAACCGAGATTGAAAACGGCAATGAATCAGCTCCGTCTGTACATGTGACATGGGGGTCACGAAAAGCCTCGCACAGATGACCCATCTAGATGGCCTACTCTGCCATGCTGGCTCTAAGAGAAGAAGTGAGAACAGATGAAAGTATCTTCCACATTAACCCATCACACATGACCATCCTGATTGACTAACCGTCATGTACCCATTTATATCGCTGGATGGACAGATGAGAGGGGGATTAAAGAGTCTTGCCCATTGATTGAACTAGTGAACTTGGTGTTGCAAGTCTGGTGTGCTAAATACTACACCTTGGCAGCATCTGGATGTTTCTATCTAAATCTAATTTTCATCATCATCATTGGCGTTAATTATCATGTATGCTGTACCTCCGATGCAGTGTCTCATAGTGCCAGAACACAGGGGCAATTTAGATCATCTCAGTTTAGGAAGTAATTTCATACCAAATGCAACGTTCAAAAATAGCACAGGTTAGACAACACACACAATGAGCACACCAAACAACGCAAAGGTAACCTGTGGTTGAAACTACTCTCTTCTTTGACAATTTAATTGGAGTTCTTTTCATCACAATCTGAAAGTAACGTATTTAATTTAGTCTCAAATATAGACAGAGTGACCAATGCAAATTCTAATGATTTTCTAGAAATACTAAAATGCTGCAATTGTGCACAAGTATTTATATATATTCGAATTTGTTCTCGAAAAAATATATAGTTTTTGAGATTGAATAGTTGTACTCATAGGACAAGGTCAGGCAAACACTTAACATTATACACAGAGTTACATATCACTAAGTCAAAGTGTGTACATACACATCTACAACAAGTGTAAGTCCTGTGCGAGCAGATGAAATTACATTCTATTTGTAGAGTCAGTCCCCCAATCGGTTAGTACAGAATGATGATTATGTATTCAATACTGGAGAGAAGGTGGGCTGAGTCGATCCCAGTCTGGAATTTAACATTTTATTCACAGTCTTTTGAATGTGAGTTAAGCACTTTACCCAAAGTACCACCCAACACGATGAAGCGTTATCTGTGATCACCTATTATGGCCAGTAAGTGAAACATGGATTCAAATGGTCAGCATCATATTCGGCTTTGGATTACCATCTCGTGTCACCATTCAGATTGCCATGGTATCATTTTCCCTGATATGAAATTACGTCAAATTTTACAACGTGACAATTGATACTCTTTGGGTCTTTCGGTAAAGTCACGTAGATATACATTTTTTCATAACTTTGTAATTGAATTTCACGTGTATTGTATTGTTCTTGAAATTTCTCTACTTTAATCAGTGAATTTTGAAATGTTCTAGGTATCTTGTCAGTAAATTATGTTTTAAAGAAGAACAAAATGAGTAAGGATAATTTCATACAATGTACGATAAGATGATCATGGTTATCAGAAATTGTACGGTGTATCATAGCATCACCACATTACGGTAATGCCAGAACCCACCCTTCAAACGCAAGTCATTTTAGGCTCACGTAACCTAAAGGTAGCCCAGTTCCCGCTGAGAATCAAAGCCAGGAGTGGTGTATCCTCACAATAACACACTCGCTCCTCTCACACACGTCCAGGCATGCACGCTCACTCGCACACACACACACACATGCAGCAGTGGCAGGAGCCTCAGTCTATTGCCTGCTAATGTATTGGGAGGACAATGATACATTTTGTTATTTCTATGCCAAAGGCTAAGGTCTCTAAGAGGGTAAGCGTGCATTGTACAAGGATAATCATTCAACTTCCTGAGTTGTTCCTCTATTAATAGTTTTACTCAATCTCTTGGAACAAATAAGTTGTCTGTGTGTCAACTCTAAATCTCTGAACTTATTATTTGGTTCTTTCGGTTAAGTCACGGCTAAAGATAAAATAATAAATTAAATAATAGCATATTACGACGTTTCGATTGCAACACAAGCAATCATCATCAGGTATAATGAAATAGCGAAATAAAATCTAACCAGAAAACTATAGACAGACAAATAAGTAGACAGATATCACCAAGATACATAGAGAGAGCAACACAGGTAACAGAGAGGGGTGATCGTCTCTGTGGGGTGGCCTTAAATAGACAGAGGGGGGAGGAGGCAGAGAGAGGGAGGGGGTTAGAGAAAAAAATTAGCATATCAATGAGTGGACAACAAACGTGACGCTGCAAGTGCGATGGCACGGCAAGCAAGCCTGAAAATCAGGAGAAGGACAAACTAAAATTAAATAACCTAGTAAATTACTGCAGTAGACGCACGATTACATTTGTATCATCCAAAATAATTTGGAAAGTTGTTGCACGAATTAACCGATCGTTGGTAAAGTTGCTAGGAAATGAATAATTTCATAATATGGGGGGGGGGGGGGGGGTGCGGGGGTGGAAAGGGTTGACAAATCCAGTACGTAAAATACGCGAGCACAATTTCTTCAGAAATAAATGGTAAGCGGGTTAGCAATTGGATTTGGCGGCGAATGATTAAATATCAGGAACGCGGCTCCGGGTCCGCACGTGGCTCTTTGAGGACTGCTTCATGAGGTTATTTATTACGAACCACCATCTCGGATTCACCACGTGCATTGCGCCTCTTGAAATGTTGAGTTTTTTTTCATTGAATAAAAAAGTGGCTCCTCTTATTATCTTGGTTGCAGATCCCTGCAGTAGAGCAACCTTTTTTCATGGATTCTGAAGGACAAGTGTTAACTGCAGTATGATACGATAAAACCAAAAAGTGGAATTTGACATTTGCCATTTATTAAAGGTGATGGACTCTTTAACAATCATAAAAAGACTGGGGTTTGAATTTTAAAACAAGACCGAGCATGACTTTATCGCACTAAATTGGACACTGAATGGTCAATTTCACAAGAGGATCTTTGGCACAGATTCTACGCCAAACATATTACGGAGCTATGCCCTTTCATTTACAGTGGCACATGTCAAACGCCATTAATGAACTGCAATCAAAAAGACCTGTCATTGGATAATAATGTGCACTCACCTATACAGTTACAATCATTCATGAGATAATAACTTTTTATAACACGTTGGTAGAATGATTGTCTGGGGCAAATGACAATTAGCATTGAGTAGCTTTGCCTCGGTGGCGATTTGTCCAGTATCAAAGCCTCGATAATTTGTGGACAGACATTTATGTAAATAAATTACCAAGTATCTCGTAACGTTCCTTAGTAGACTGAAACACTGCCGAGGAATTCGAGATTGCAACGTTTCATGAACTTATTGTGCAACCAAGCGAATCGGGGGGTGGGGGGGGGAAATTTGAGTACATATTTCTTGCAATTTTAATCATCAAGTCACGTAAGTTTTTAACCAAACTTAATGGGAAAAAAAATACACCCGTGGATTGTTTCCTCTCCTACGATAATTTACCAAAAAAAAAAAAATCTACTTTGGGGGGAATTAGTGGGATTTAAGAAACTCGCTCCATTATTTCAATTGCCATGCCAGGAAACCGAAACCGACTCTTGACCTCTGCATTGCAACTCCCGTGTGCTAACCACGACACCACGGTAGCATCCCGACAGTGTACATATATATACGTGTACGGTTATGGAGGCGGCGTTAATAATTTTCAGAGTTGTTTTTTTTTCGCTCGTCTATTCCACCACATCCTGCCCACATCCTTTCGCTTGTTTCTCAGGAGTCACCGCGGCTCAGACTTGCGTTTGTTCGACTGTGCTCATCCTTTCCATTCTCCCCACCCTCCCCGAGTTATCCCAAACATTAATCCCGACAGGATCATGCGTGTGGTTTTCAGCTTTGCGCTATTTTACAGTCATTGACCAAGCTTCTTCGGATCCTTGTGTCATAGCAGACGGTATGCGGTGGCGAGAAGACCCAGCTTGCGAGACACAATGGTTTTTTGTTCGCGGCAATGCCATCCGGGTTATCGCGGACACACTCGCCTGTGCTCCCCCCGTCTCCATCATTATTTCGAAATTGGAACTATGATCAATCTGCAGCTTTTGTCCCGAGACACACACACATTCCACTGTGTCTCCGAAATGGAATGTGCAGTGTCTAACGTAGCGACGGCTCAATGAAATACGTGAACTCAAGTGTCAATTTATCGTCAACTGTACATGTCACACACACGTGCGCGCTCACAGAAAGCCGTCGCCAAAAAAAATAAGCAACTGTGCTTATTAAGAAGTATGGCAAGAGATAAGAGTCAAGCCAAAAACTAATTAATGCAAGTGTAACAAGAATACTGTGTACCAATGCCTTATCTAATGCAGCTGCTACCCATAAGCGTACATTTCATTCAAAACAGCTGAATGTCTTAAAATAGTTGTGTTTTGACTTTAACGCTGTGTGCTGTGTATTCAAAAGAATAATTATCGCCTATTCTATAGATTCGTTTTCTAAGATTGCATGAACATTTATGTAAGCGTATTTTCTTCCGTTTGCAGCTTTTCTCCGTCTAACATTGCATTCCTTTTCTTAGCAAATTCACGAAATCTCCCTTTAATTGAAGGTGTACTGAGTTGCGTGTCGCTGTATGTATATATTTGTAATCGCACGTAAATAGTAAGCGGGCATGGGCAATGGCCAGGAACAACGACTGAGTGGCAGCCAAGATAACGGAATGTATCGGAGAGGACCGTCCTTTGGGGCTGGCAGTTTGGGAGCCATGAAATCAGTGAGTGCGCAGGTGCCAGATAGATCATCAACATGGCAGGATCGCGAGAGATGGCGAGGACACCTTTAATCCTGCAGTGGATTGACCTACACTATGCGCATGGACTGTCCGCACAAACGTTACTGGTGTAATCCAGTGACAGGTG